GGCTTTAAAAAAAAACAAGAAAACTGGTGTCGGGGAAGTACCCTCTTCCTGCCTTCCATGGCAGTGATTCTACCCCGAGAATCCCAGGGCCTTGTGGGCGTGGCCACAAAGGCCTCATTTGCATATGCTTTCACAAAAGTCTTGCACAAACTTCACTATAACTCTAAATGTGGTCTAAGGCAACCAAAAGATTTTATTGTTGTTTTCTTGGGGGTTTTTTTTGTTGTTGTTCTTGTTGTTAAATTGAGGGTAACATACATAGAGTGAATAAAATGCTGTAATCTTAACAGTCAGAACTTGTGCAGACATGTGTAACCCCACCCAGATGGGGAACATTCAGTTTTAATATTGCTATTATGATTGCTTCTAAAGCTATTGCTTCTTGACTTCCTTGTTTTCATTTTTTCTCCATTGGCGTATATCCCGTACATGAAGTTGGAATCGGGTTGGGTGAAGGTTCATGTGCCACATCTCAAAATACTTAAGCTGGGAAGGTCTCTCTTGGAATTTCAAGGTCTTGTAAGGCACAGGAGAGAAAGTCATCCTTGCTCATTTCAGCTCCTTCCCACTTTTGGTCAGCAGTTCCTAGCCTTTTCTCTGACCCCACACTTGAGGGTTACAACACATTCCTTCAGCATTCAAGGCTCAGTGTATCTGTGAAGTTTAAAGAGGGCAGATATGGTTTGAAAAAGTCGTGCAAGTTATTTTAATGTTCGTCCCAACTCTGGGAGAGGAGTGAGACTCACTGATTTGCTGTATTTCCCCATTCTGAAATGCCAGTGATGACTATATACCTCCTGGGGTCAATAGCATCTATGCTGGTTACTCCTTATTTGTGGGGTGCCCCTCTCCTGTCCCCTGACCAGACCTACTCTTTACCCTTCCTTACCCTTCTCCATGCCCTGGCAGACCATTTTCAGTGGATTGCACTGATCAGGGCCCTGTCCTTTGGCCAGAGATGGGGGCAAGAGGTGGGAGAGATGGGTCTGGTATTTCTCCCCTCACCCCCACACCCCCATTTTAGCACCATCTCTGGCAGTGGCTGCTTCTTTCTACCTGCTGCACGGCCTCTCTTTCATGGGCCCAGGGCTTATCAGGCTCTAATAACACTATTTCCTCTCCTTTTCAACCTTAGGGGTGGTCACAATTTCCTGCTGTTACTAGGCTCTAGATGCCTCAAGTTCCCTTGCTGTTCTTAACCCTGCCCACACCTCTATAAGGGGCTTGTCCATCAAAGACTCATCCTTTGAACCATCCGGGTGGACTGATGGACTCCTGACTGATTCGTGGGTCTTTAGACAAGCAGAAACACTTCCATATTCAATAGTCATCAATTATAAGATGTAGCTGGCCTTCAGAAATGTTAAAGCAGCATCAAAATGTATGGTTTACTATAAAAAAAATGATGGCAGGTTCGTTCAGGCATGATGGAGAGAGGACGGTTTATCATTAAGGAGCAGGGTTTTTGCTCCTAACCTCTCAAGGTTGGAAGCATGGGAGATGGCAGAGCACTGGGTTTAAAGTCAGGTGAGATGGTTTTAAGGTCAGACTCTGACACCCCCAGGCTGCTCTGCCATTCTGTTCCTTGGCCTCCTCCTTGGCAATCCAGATTCAGATTTACTGTCCACAACTCTTGCAGGGATGTGTGTAAGGACAAATGAGGCCACATATGTGAAAGGGCTTCAGTGTAGCCATTCTGGGATTCAAACCACCTCTGAGGGGCCAAAGGCTGGGCAAGAGGGACAAACAAGGAAACTGGCAAAGGTGGGGCAGAGAGGTCCCAGAGCCCCAGGGAGGCATTGAGAAGACAGCCCACCTACCCTTTTCTCCCCACCTCGGCACATCTCCTTGCCTTCCCTTCCCTCACTTGACACGGCCTTGTCCTTAAAGAGGCTGCTGGATTATACAGCAGAGAATTAAGGAGCACGTCCAAGTGCAGGATAAAGCCATGCACCAGATTGAAGTCCAAGCTTCCGGAGACCAGGAAGAGAAACAAAGACCTTCCGGTAGGAGGCAGGTAATGCCCTGTCCTGGGTAAGGGGAAGAACCTGATGTCAGAGAACCTCAGCTGTACTCCCAACTGGTCACTAACTCACTAACAAATTCCCCTGGACAAGTTACTTAATCTCACTTTCTTCGTCTGCAACCAGGGAATATAATACCCACCTCGAACGTTTGTTGCGAGGATAACATGAGACAACCCCTGCATTCCGCGTGGTGCCTGACTTTGGTTTAGTGCTCAATCAAGGTTCGCCTCTATTCTTAGCATTCCAAAGCGCCAGAGGAGCCTTTCTCACTGGGTGACCTTGGAATGATTTCCCGCGGAGGGGCACTGAACTGGACTTGGAGGCTGAATTCTCGGTTTGGCCAACACTGTTCCCCTTAAGCACTAGCTGAACCAGAGGTCAGTCCCGTGGCAGCACCAGGGCGCAGCTCTGTGTCTGGAGCTGGGAGGACTGAAAGGCGTGGCAGGCTGCGGAACGCAGGCCTCCCGGCGGGCAGAGGGAGCCAGCACAAGTTCTGGAGCAGGAGAAGGCCGGGATCAAAGCGCTCTGAGGCAGGCCAGGGCGCACTAAAGGGAGGCTAGCGAGTTGCATCAGCACAGATTCCGTGATGCTCTGCAGACGTCTCGGGGCTGCTGGGCTTTACGGGAACCCACAAGAAAGGAAAGGACCAGGGGAGCAGGCAGGGCGGGGGCGGGCGAGGGCGCGAGGGTGCGCTCGCCCGCCCGCGCGCTCCCGGCGGCGCCTGCCCGGGGTTGGGCGAGCCCGGGACGGCGGAGGCAGCTCCCGCTCCCCTTCCCCCTCCTCCTTTCCCCCTGCGTTACTGGAAGGACTGTGTGGGAGAGACCCAGAAGCACCCGGATTTTCGAGCGCTGGGTGGGGGAGGGCCGGGCAGCTTCTGGTGCTCAAAGGAAAACCAAAAGTGCGTCTGCTCTTCTGCTCGGGCTGCTCCGACACGCGGTTGCTACTGGGAGGGCCCCAGGCGCCCCGGCCGCGCCTCCCTTTGCAGCCCCCCAAGACTTAGCTAGGGCGGCCTAAGGCCCGCGTGGAGCGGGGAGGGGCTGGGAGGCGAGTGAGAAGGTGTCACGATTTCTCCTTCTGTGCCACCCCCTGTCCCCACCCCCACCCCCGGTTTTCTGGGTTTTGCCGCTGCCTCTGGGGAAGAGCTGATTCGTTTTGCGTCAAAGGACTGCATTTACTCAGTCCTGCTGGGAGAGGCGCGTAAACACCCAGGCAGGCCAGGACGCAGGAATGGGGGGAAAAAGCCAAGCACCCATGGCTGGTGTGCGCGTCTGCCCGCCCCACACCCCTCATCTGGGCCCGCGGAGTTGGGGACTTTGAGGGGCGGGCAGCGGCGGAGGTGTGAGAAGTCTGGCTGGCCTCCCCCGGCGGCGCGCGCGCGTCCTTGGGGATGGAGCTCAGGACAGAATGTGTTTTATAACTGTAAACAATGACCCCGAGTATTGTTTGGGATTACCGTATCTTGGGGCCCTTGGGGCGGCCAGATGCCGCCAGTCGTTCCGGAAACGCCAGCGCTTTATATAGAGCCCCAGGAAAGCTTCGAGTTCCCGGCTCTATTTTTCTTTCCTAGCAACACCCCCACTTTATAGATAAGGAAACTGAGGACTGGAACTGTGATGTGTTACGGTGCACATCGATTCACAGTCCGCAATAGCCTCTCAACGACACATCTTCTCATTCGGTCCCGTGAGGTACAGATGGCGCTACTTAAGGGTTGGGTAAACTGAGGCTAAGGCAGACCCTGGACCGGAACCTAAGTTCCTTGACTCCTAGTACAGTGCTTCTCCAGTCACACCACATCATCTCTGCGGAGCTCCAGAGCAGAGAAGGGTTTTAGGTCATCTGTCCCAACCTCTTCACATAGGAGGAAACTGAGGCCCAGATTGGTTAAGGGAGTCGCCAAGATCTCATAGCTCATAAGTAGCACAGCCTGGCGTTCCTACTCCAAGGTCTGCTCTCTACCCTGCGCCGCTCCCCGCCGCGCCCCACCCAGAGAGGCGGGAAGACCCAAGAGTCCAGCTACCCGCGCCCTGAACTTCGCTCCAAAACAGCTGAAGACAAAGTTGGGGCACACCCTCTCTCTGGTTCTCCCCCCCCCGTTTTCTTAATTCGTAACAATCGAGTTTGCCTATAACGCCCGATTACTTCTATTAGATGCGTCCTAGTTGCCCAGCACAGAGGGCGGCCAGAATGTCTTGACTGGTTCATTTCATCTCCGAGGCTACTCCTAACACATTAATTGTAGGACTGAAAAAATAAAAAACAAAAAGGGAAGTAGTAGGCAGACGGCCACGGAGGGGAAAATAGGCAGGCCAGCCCAGCCTGGCGGCGCCGCGCCCCGCCAAGGCCCGGCCGCAGGACGGCGCGGGTAGCCTGCGCGCCCAGGGCGCCCGCTGCACCCAGCGGCGCCGTGGAAGGCGCCGACAGCCGCGCGGCCGCGCCCTCCCTGCGAGCGGCTCTACGCGCCCGGCTCCCGGCCTGGCGGTGGCGCCGCTCTGAACCGCCCGTCTCGTCTCCAGGACTGTGATTATTTTCGAAAATCCGGAGCCGAGACCCGCGCGGCCGTTCTCGGGGCCCCGCCCCGCGCCCCTTCCCGGGGCGGGGGAGAGGCCGCGGCGCGCTCGGGAGCGGGCGAGGGAATCCCTCTCCCTCCACGTCACCCAAAAGCGAGGAAACCCGCACTCGCGTCCTCTAACGCAAATGACCATCTTTGGCAACGTGCGCCAATGGAGCAGACCAAGGGCGCTGGGCGCGGGGGAGAGAGGGGCTGGGGGAGGGCCGGGGTGCCTCGGCGGCCGCAGACCCCGCGAGCCGCGCGCTCCCACCGGGGCCGCAGCCTGCCTTCCTCGCGCGAGGTGAGCGGCTGGCGTCAGCGCGGCCGGCAGCCGGGGCAGGGAGGGGAGCGCTGCGTCGGCCTCCTCCCCTCCCGCGCCTCTTCCTCCTCCTCCTCCTCCTCCCCCCGCCCCCTCGCGCGCTCCTCCCTGCAAGGTGGAGTCTAGGGTTGACGTGAGTGAATCCACATGGTACAGGGGCTGGAGAATAAAGAGTGTGGAGTTGAACTCGTGCCATTGTAGTGACTCATCTCGGGCAGAGCGCAGGGGCTCCGAGCGATCCAGCGAGCGAGCGAGCGAGCGGCGCTCGGCGGGGACACAGAGAGAGAGGGCGAGGCGCGGACGGGCGAGGCGGGCCCGTCCGGGAGCGGGCGCTGGGGAAGGGGTGCAGGTCCGGGCGCCGGAGCAGCCACGCGGAGAGCGGGGCCGCGTCCCCCTCAGCGCCGGCTCAGCGTGAACCCCACGGGCCGCTGTCCCGCTGGCGCGCTCGGGCCGCGGCACGGGCGCACGCTGCCTCAGTCTCCTAGTCAAGTGTCCGACCCGCTCCGAAACTCCGGCGGCGAGTCGGCCACAGGAAGTTTACTCTCGGGCTCCTTTTCTAAAAGGAGGAAATAGAAGTTTCTCCAAGCGGGCAGCTTTTCTTTTCTCCTTTTTGGCCCTCTCTGAAATCGGGGGTGCCTGGAGCTGGCAAGCGAGGCTCGCCCGGCTCCTATTCTGTTTTAATTTCCAAATTTTTGATTGGGCCGTCGGTCCCCGGCTGGGCTCCGGCTGCGCGCGGGGGCGGGAGGGTGCGCGCAGGGGAGGGACCGAGGGACGCGCCGACTTTTAGAGGGAGGGACTGGGTGGACAACTGGTCCCGCGGCGCTCGCAGAGCAGGAAAGAAGTGCCGTGCGAGGCGCTCGGGGGACACTGTTCCCGGAGTGTCGCCGCCTCCCTGTCCTCGCCCGCTGCGGTGGAGCAGAAACCCGGAGTCAAGACTAGAGCCCGCGGCGCAGCCGGCGGACCAGCAAGCGCGCAGCAGCCGGTGCGCGGCCGCGGCGAGGGCGGGGGAAGAAAAACACCCTGTTTCCTCTCCGGCCCCCACCGCGGATCATGTACCAGGATTATCCCGGGAACTTTGACACCTCGTCCCGGGGCAGCAGCGGCTCTCCTGCGCACGCCGAGTCCTACTCCAGCGGCGGCGGCGGCCAGCAGGTAGGTGCGAGTCCCGGGTGCACCTGGCGGCGCGGGCAGACCCCGCCCTCTTACCGCCGCTGTGTCTTTTGCTTTCTTTTCCCTTTCTTGACTTGTCGAGAAAATATCTACTGGCCACCGTTCTAAGTTACAGATTTTCATCCAGTCCGAACCCCCTCCCCACTGCTTTTTAAACTGGAAGGAAGGGGAGTGGGCTTGAAGAGCCAACATATCTCTTTCTTCGCACTACATCTTATCCAGACAAGCTCCAGGAATTGCAGGACCCCCTACCAGGAGCCTGTTACCTCCTTCCAAGAACACTCGCCTTCTCTCCCTTCCCCACCCCCACCCCGCCCCCGAGGTGGACAGACAAGAAAATCTTTGCACCCACTGGCCCCTTCCGACTCCCTGGGACTACATTCCTGCGGAAAGCCCTCTCCCTTTCTTCCCCTCTTCTCCATCAGTCCTTGCTCGTTTCTGAAAGAGGTTGGGGACTCAGAAGAATGGGTAGGCTCCTTCACGTAATCCGGAGTGAGCGCGAGGCTGCCACTCTGGGAATCAGGTGCGAAGGTCAGGAAGGAAGAGACCATCCTTGATTGGCTACTGCCACCGCCTCTGTGCCCTATGCCCCGCTCCTGTAAGGGTGGGGGGCAGGAGCCTTCACTGCCCCGAAGAGGGAAGGAGCACCTTGAGGGTCTTGGGTACCTGGGGCAAGGAGGCTGGCAGACAGAAGTGGGGAAAGAGACATCACTTAGGCTCCCGGGTAGTTCTGGAAGCAGAAAACAACTTGTTTCCAAAGCAGCCAGACTGGTTTGCACTGGAGGGATTGTGTGTGGGGGACGATGTGTGTGTTTATAAATACCAGAAAGGTGCTGGGGGTGGGGGTGGGTGCTGGTGGGGTGTCTGGCCTCTGCAGCAGCTCCCCGCCCACCCCCACCCCCCAGTCTTGTGAGGGAGCTGGGTTAACACACAAGACCCACTACAACGTGAAGCCCACCTTGGTCAGCATCTGTAGTCTCTAGCAAAGTTGGCTGCAGCAAGAGATGCTCAATAAAGTCGTGGCCTTGACCTGTAGCAAGGGCCGGGGAAGGGGGGGGTTCCAGGGAGAAGTGGACCAAGCTGCAAAATATAGTGGAAACATGGCTCTCCTTTGAATCTCTTATGGAGAAAACAAAACAAGAGAAATAACTCATTCCAAGATGATTCCCTATACCTGGTGAGTCCCCAAAATGGTTTTGCTGTGTCTTCCCTCTCCCTCCCCTGGTGCCCCCACAAGCACTTGCTGTAGAGAGCCTCATCTGTTCATTGAGGTTGCAGTCAGTACACCATAATGAGCAACAAGGTGATGAGTTTAAAATCTTATCCGAAGAGTTGTTGATTGTGTTTGCTTCCCAGCCCTGTTGGTGGTTTGTATTAAATTCAAACATCATTAGGCAATGAGCTAGAGTCATTAATACCCATTCTCTTACTCTCCAATTCAACAAACCCTAAAATGCCTGTTTTCTCCTCCCTGAGTCAGGAAGGGATCTTTTGATTTCTTCTCTGTTCCTTTTGCTAATGTGTCCGTGGCAATGATCACTGAACTATTACAGTCTCACTGCCTGGCTTCACTTAGACCGGGGCCTGGATGGGAAGTCAGACCGGACATCAGTGCCCCAACTGAATAATCTGTGTCACTAGGGCTTTGAGCCCAGGATGTGAGCGGAGGCGATTCCCTGTTTTGGAAGAAAATCAGACAGGAAACCAGTGCTAGGAAGAAGGAAGAGAACTCAGTCCAGCAGAGTGTAGTGGGGCCTCATTACCGAAGCAAAAAGCAGCTGTTGGCTAATTCCTAGCGTGCTGTAACACATGAGGATTTTGCAATTAGCAATAACCAGTGCACAGGGTGCTCGCATATGCGCCTGCCCGTTCAGCCTGGCAGTGTGAGTGAGGCACCTTTCAAACCAGAGGGATTGGCAAGGTAGTGCCACTTTAGACAAGTTTCTCAGTCTGCCTGCTCCTTGGTGGGTGGGGGGCAAGTGGGTGGAGGGCAAGGAGGAGCGGGGAAGGTTTTTCCATCATTGCCCCAACTTTGAGCAAAATTGTTTTGTGGTCCTAAGGACTGACCTCAGAGGCTTTTGTTATTTCTCAAGTCTGTGCTATGACCCCGCCCTATCTCAGGCTCAAGGTAACTTTATTACATACCAGATAAAACCTGTAATCACTTTATTTCTCTCAGCTTCCTTTATTGGGAGACTTTCTGGCAGTTAGTGGATCAGCCTTCCTCCTTTATTGGCATCTCAAGGAACCAATCAGTGTAAGATAGGGTTCTCTGGGTTTTCTTTGGGCAAGTGAATATTATTTTTTCCAGGTCTCTTTGATTGAGGTGTCTAATATTCCCAAAAAGTTTGTCACTGGTTATTCAACCCTGAGCTTTCCTTTGGTCTTAACACATGGCCGTGAGTTCCAATGACGTTTGGGGATGGTGGCAGCAGACAACTCTTTGTTAAAGCCTCTGTTCTTATATATGGCAGGAACTTGAAGCATGAAAAATATTTCCTGTTCCAGTTATAGTTTTAATCTCAAAGATTGGTCATTGGTGATTTTGTTTTGTCAGTAATAGTTGCACGCATCTCCCCCTCCTGGATTTTTCTTTTTGTTGTTGTCGATGTTTTCTCTCTCCTAACTTTTCCTAGGAAAATACCTCCCAGATATATGCCCTGCCTGGCTGCTTGACTATTCCGGTTTCAGAGCCTGAGCATTACGCAATCCAGCCAGTTACACAAACATAGTTCATTTCATAACTTGTTTTCATCAGCTGGGCCCCCTTTTAATGAAGAAACAAAACAAAAACAAGACCTAGAACTTTTCCAAGGCTGCTATTTGTCTGTTTCTCAGATAACTTGTGAAAATAAATGAAGGGGGGGTATTTCCTTTTTGGAATCAAGGAATACCAGACTAGCTCTCTTCTTCCTCAACCACCCTTTCCCAAGACAAACACACACACACACACACACACACACACACACACACGCACACTCACACGCACACTCACACGCACACACACAAAATTCCCCAGAGTGAACTTTTGCCAACTGTACCAGACTGGGACATTCCTCACATCAAAGAACTTTTACCAGAAATGACTGTGATTCCCAAGTCAGCCTCAATCATACCTCGCTAGTGCCCCCTACAGGACATTTTTAGAAAAACTTTCTTGGGAATGTATTTTTCCAGTCTGGGAGCATGTTAACTTGGTTCATTTTCTGAATTCTTAGGATTTCTTTCTTTTTAATTAGGGACAAATAAATTCCATATATTTAGCAGTGGTTAGGAGCTGCTTGACTTCAAAAATGAGTTTCTTTTTAAAATTTTGTTCTAAATAAAACCTGGTTGAAAAAGGAGTGCTTTTTTTCTTTCCCTATTTTGATGTCTATCTGTACATTAGGGTGATCCCAAGGTGTTTTCAAATTCCCAGGACTTGTTTTCTTGATGTGTTTGTATTAAGAGGGGGAGGGTCGTTCAGACTTGGTGGGAATGTGGGAGGCATATATTAAGGGTCTGGGTGCTTTTTTTTTTTTTTTTTTTTTGCCTTGATCTTACAGATGTTGTAGATTAGGATCAAACAAAATGTTATCCCAAGAATTTGTCTGTTCCGCTGATTCTGGATGGTGGAAGTCAGCTTCACTTTTTCATCAAAGTGAGTGGGGTGAAATAGCAGTCATGTATTGTCTGAGTGGCAGTTGAATTTTCCTATCCAAAACCCTGAGTGCATTCCCATTACTTGATTTCCGCCTGTTTTATTATTCAAGGTGAGAGTAAAATTAGGAGACTTGTTCTCCTCTTTTGTATCTTAATACAAACACACCAGAACATATACATCCAAATTACTGCTGTCCCTTTCATTGTTTTTTCCTTGAGGAGGCTAAAAATTTGAGTGCCGTGGCCATTGCTCAGACTCAGAAAGGCTTTGCACTGCTCCTCTTTTGGAATTGCTTTCAGCACATTCTTTTGAAAATCCTCCCTGCTAACATATCTTTGTCCCTTGGAGGGTGAATTTGATATTTGGAAATTACCAAAAGATCTTTGGAACCAAGTCTGACACATGAAGTCTGGGTGATCAGGCTGACCACAAAGTAGAGCATGACCCTGTGTCCCGCTGGTGTCAGAGCGACCCTGTGAGCAGGGCACACCAAAGTAGCCACCTTCAGTGACAGCACCTTTGTCATCAATACCTTGGACTTTTTCCTTTATTAAACAAGAATAAAGATACTGGTTTTGAGAATTAAGGAAACTAACTTTCTGGTCTATTCATTGAAAGAAAGGGAAAAAAAATAGCATCATCAGTTAGTGGATATGTCTCATCCATGTTGTATGTGGTATCTGTTGATGGCCACAACATTTATGGCAGCTGCCCTAATTGAGGCAAATATATTCGTACCAAACCCCATTTGGTAACTCTACCCTCCTCAGTTCCCTGGGCTGGAGAGGGAAGGTGTAGGATTTCTCTTGGCCCACCCCCTGTCTCCCAGCCGGGTCATATGGCGCTGAGACCAGCAGGCTCACCCTCCTGCCTGCGGTTCTAAGGGAAGATGAGACGACAGGTCCTTCCCATCAGGTGCAGAGTCGCCGAGGACTGGTGGGAGTACCAACAGGGCGCAGAATAGTGGAGTGGATTCTCCAGGGCTTTGGAGTGGGGGCTTTTGGCCCAAAGGGCCCTGAAGGAAAGAAACTGGGGACCCTGGGGGATATGTATCTTCTTTTCCTTGCTAATCTTTTCTTCTGTGCTTCTCTTCACCCTGGCACCTCAGGGAAGGAGGTAGGAGCGGTTCTTTCATGTGAACCTGGGAAGGAGTGGAGGGTGACAGGACACTGGTCACCTGAGATAGCATTTGTATACTGTCACACTGTGGGAATTCGTGAGTTGTTAGCAACAATTTCCATTGTGACATAAGTGGCATTTCCTCACAGAGCAATGAAAGGTCAGAGATCAAAGTGATGTTCGATGTAGTCTGTGAAGACTGGTTGAATTCCATATAGAA